AGAGCCGCGCACCGTCACAGACTGCTTCGCACAGTTCGGCGGCAACCGCAGCTCCCACTCACCAGTCCCTTTCTCTCTCTTCGTGCAACCCTCTTTCTCTCTCTGTTTTCTCTCTCCTTTTCGATTTCTTCTCTTTTTCCTTTAATAGACAGGAGGATAGAGAGCCCTACATGTCTCTTCTTCCTTCTTCTTTGGTGTCTAAGTTTCGATCTCCACCCTGTCTTCTTCGAATGCTAGAGGCATGCACGCCTCTGGTTACCCTAATTTTTTTTTTCTTTTTTATCACCAAAACGACATCGTTTTGATGCTCTCAAAATGACATCATATCACCTACTTCTTTTTTTCTCTTCCTTTATATCAAAACGCTGTCGTTTTTGGACTTTTCCAAAATGACGTCGTTTTGGCTTTTTCTGCTTCTAAGAAGCAGATGGGTTGGGTTTGTTTCTCTCAGGCTAAGTTGTTACAATTTGTCCCCCTTTAAAATAAATTTAGTCTTCCAAATTTACCGTGACTAGGTGGTTTGAAGACATCTTTACTCGTTTTTAAGTTTTCTCTTTAACCTAATGGTTTTGTTATAATATTTTTACTGGTGGGATCTCTTTAGTTCATAGTCAATTCTTTTCTACCTCTCATAACTAAGGTATAGTTGCTAAGAGTTTATTTTATATTCAATTTTTTTTTAAAAAATTACTCTACCTACAAAAATGGCATCTAGGGTTACAATGATCCTCGAAGTTCACTAAAGTTCTCCAATTCCACATGTCTAAATTAAATTATCATTTTTCAACTTTTGAGAACTTAATATGTAATTACTTAGAATATACCACCTATTGGATTTAATAGAAGGTATTAATACTGAAACATTAGCGTCATTCCTAAGAACTTAGGATTTCATAACTTCTAGATCTTGACTGGTGAATTTGTAAGGTGTTATAGTTTTCAAGACTTTTTTCTTTCCATATTTTATGACTTGATGTCTACTTAGATTATCCTTTAACTGAATCGCATAGTTTCTCTAATTTCGTCAAAGACTAAAAACTCCTAATATACTCATCATTCTCTATTATTCACAAGGATGAGTTCTTAATTACCTTAATACCCTACACTATGGTATACTCACCTTCCCTCAAATTCTCTATGTTCTAAGTGAAAATCATTTGTTATTTGATTTCTAAAAATTAACTTTGGAAATTTTAAAAATTGTTTAGTACCAAAACTTCCTCCTCTTTACTCAATGCGTTACTTTTACCTGACTCAAATTGCACTTCTACCCCATCAAAGTTTGAATGATTCTCTAAGGCACATAAGTACTTTATCAGATTTTTCTTAAAGTCGTTTTAAGTAAGCGATTGTGAAGTTCCTATTTCTTACTGAAAATTATTAGAAGTCTTTGATAGAGGGGTCATATAATGGCCTAGCTAAAAATGATTATACTCTCTACCTATTCTATTCTGTTTATGGTTAAATACTACACCTTCCCTTTCCCAATGTTGCAAGTGATTATTCTTAGGTATGACACTAAGATATGACTCGTGGGTTTATCGTATTTTCATTTAGTCTTTGTTGACTTAAAAAACATTTCCTTATGTGTTTAATTTTTAATTTGAGGGTGTCTACTTTGAATATTCATCTTGATATATTAGTATAATGTATAAATTTTACATTCCAATTTAAGAATAAACAAACAATATGCGAGGGTTATTCACACCAACATTTTTGTTATTAGAAAATATCGTCACAATTAATGGCTAGTGAAGATCTGGTTGGATTAATTCTGGTCATCTTCACCGAGCATACCTCTATCAACGGTTGACAAAATTTAAGGTGTTTTCTAGATGAGAGAGTAGGGAAATCAAGTACTCTCGTATTGGAGCTAGTTTTAAGCAGTAGTAGGGTTGATCATAGGGTTTCTATTATGCCTAATTCACTTATAGTGATTTTTAGATGGTTTAGGGATAAATTTTTTATGTGTGGTGGTTTATGGATCTATGCCACCTTTTGCTGCGCCACTCTAAATAATATTTACTTTAAAAGTGTATACTGGTGTATTGCATCATTTTTGGGTTACCTTTTAGCATAAGAAAATTATATTCTGAGTTATTATTATATTATTAATGACATGTAATTAAAGCAAGTCCTTAAGATATGGATGAGGTCTTTCAGAAAGAAGAGTTCTAATTAGGTCTACTCTCTTTCGAATCCCATTAAAGTTGCCTAGTGAAGGCTAACCTTATAGGATTTTTTTTAATTACGTTTTGTTTCAATCATTTATTCCGTTATTTGAACTTCTATAAAGGAATATTCCTATATCCCTATTGAGTATTTTGATTTACTGTGTAAGAAATGTAAACCCTAAATTTTAAAATTACTTCCGCCTATAGTTACTTAATTCAATACTTCCATATTCAATAAATTCTAGGCCTTTACAATATATCTTTTTAATTTTTAATTTTTATCATAAATGTGATAAAAAGTTTTTATTTGATTTTACTTGTATTTTAAAATTGGAAAAATGACATGAATTTTTGCTTATAAGATAATCTTCTAAATGATGATTTGTTAAATTATAAAAATAATTAGATAAAAGAAATTTTGGACAAAAATAGCATTTGGGAATGTTAATGTACACAAATTATATGATTTAAAACTATACTATTATCTTATGTACAATATATTTTTCTCTCAGATCAACATAATAATGCATGTTTCTTTTTTATGTTTTCTTTTTTAAAAAAAAATTATTTTTTGATTTCTACAATGAAATAATTTTTCAATGCACACTTAGTATCTAATTGATTTATAAAGAATATTGTTCACATTAACCCAATAGACACAAATTCACTAATTGATAGCGTGCATAAATGTTAATTTTGTTTATTAGTTTGAGGGCATAATTAGATAAACTATTGTCTAACCGAAGAAATTTTGTTAAATTCTAATACAGGTATAAATAAAGGAGTCAATTTTAGAAAAGCTCTTGCTTGAGCTGATTTTTGCATAAGGAAGTTCATACAGGATTAAATTTTGGACAAGACTTGCACTATAGCGGCAACAACAAATATTAGTTCATACATGATTAAGCCTTGAGCAAGACTTACATTCTAGCGGCAGTAGCATGTATTAATTTTTTCAAAATTCTTTCAAACTCAAAGTCATGAGGCATTTTTAAAAACAGAAAGAATGCCAAAATAAAGGGAGAGGAAAGCCTTAGTTGCACACGACTTCATTCTTTAAATAGTAAGTAGAAAAGAGCATAAAAGAATGAGGCAAAAACATAGAAGAAGATGACGAGCTTTTTTTTTTTCTATTTTTTTGTAATTTTCTCTGTTGATTCTAAATAATTGCTGGTGTATACTCCAATTTTCCAATCGAGAATTTAATTGAAATTTCAATTTCAGAGTTGTGAGATCTAATCGCTTTATTTTTGTTTTTTCTTGTTTTTAATATCTATATATTATTTTATGCATGCAAAAATTACTATTTATTATTCGTTACAACAGGGCCTGTTGTGCATCTAGCATAATAATACATTGCCATTCATAGTTTCTAAATCCGTAATTGTTCAAAATATCCTTATAATTAGTGATAAATTAGTTTTCACATTAAGAAGAAATATAATTTAATTTGAATAAACTACACGATTGAATATATTGGTTAGGATTGGATCTTTTTAGTCCATAATGTCGTTAGTAAAATATATTCTAAGAGCATCTTCAAGATTATTCATTAACAATAGTTAGTCAACGAGTGTCTCTTAGTTAATTTAATGTTAAAAAAAGATTGGTTATTAGGAGTGTCTCTAATAATTAGAACTGGTCTATTAAAAATTAATAAGAATTATCTTTGTATTAATAATCAATCATCCATATTGAAACTGATATTATTTCTTTGACTGAAACTTATTCATAATTGATTTTTACTTTACTTAATCTGTTGAATTACTTTATGCCAATTTCAATTTAGTTAATTTTGATTTTATTTAATTTGCTGATTTATTTCAATCTATTAATTGTTTAATTCTAACTCAAAACAAAAACTCTTATCTTTTTATTTTTATTTTATTTTATTACTTACCATAAAAATATATTAAAATTTAATTTTCTGTATATTCGACCCTATTCACTATAACTACAATATTATTTATTATTTAAATATAAATTTATTTTCGGTAAATTCGATATTCGTCATTAATTATTTAATAAAAAAAATTCAAGATAGGTTGTATCATCTCGAATTTTATTTTTAAATGAGGGTGGGTTAAGTTCAATAAAAATCTGAGTTAGAAAATTATCTTTCATATATATTATATTAACTACTTGATATTAGTATGTTTGAGTAATTACTATGTGTATATCTAAAACCCTAATTGTCCTCCAATTAACTCATATTACCTATTTATAAGATAAGAATGTTTTGGTTTACTATATTTAAATTAGCTAATAATATATATATATATATATTATATATATATGGATCATTGTGAAATGGTGAAGGGATAGAGAGAATTTTATATTGTTTCTTTCAACTCTTATTGTCTAATTAAAGGAAAATTTATGTAATTTTGTGATGGAGAAAATTATTATAAGATGCAATTATTATTGTATTTTGTACAATAAAATAAATATTTATTTATCATGATATTTATTATATATTAATATATCATAAAATTTATTTTATTTTTGAATACTACATAATTTATAAAAATTTGTCATCACTATAAGTTATATTAATTTTTTAATAATAAAAATCATGTTAGTGTCTATTTACTTATTATATAAAATTAAGTTTTTGAAAAATACAAATCAATACATTCAAAATTTTATTAAATATCTTAAAATTGGTAATGGTATGACCTTAATTTATAACAAATGATAATAAATTCATGTATATTAAAATTTATCACAATAATATCTCAATTTTTATTAGAAGATAATAATAAATTATTAATTGTGGCCTGTATACATATAATATATATGACTTAATTTTTTTTGACAAACATATTTAAGTTCATTTTTCTTTTAATTGAACTGTATAAATGCAGTCCCTTCACCTCATTATTCCAAAATTTTTGTTGAAGAATGAAAACATTAACAAATTTACCAACTATAACCATTACAAAATTTTCAAATCCAAAGTAACCATGAATGATGTTATGTTCTTCCTATTAAAAGCTTGCTCTCTCCAGCCAACTGTTGACAAAAATATCAGTTGGCAATCATATTGGTTTGGTTCAAAATGTTCGAACTCCACCGAACCACTAAGCAGGCTTCTTCTCCATGTTTTCCGAGCGCCTGCAAGACTCTTTCTCAATACAGATTGTTGAAAAAGAAATCCAAACAGCCTATGACATTGTCGAGATGGAACAGCTTTGTTAATGTAATCATTGTGGGCGATCAAGTAGGTTGAACGTTTACGATGAAAGGTTGGAATGGACAAACTGTGTCCTTTGAACAGTATAAATGCTTCTCGCTGTTTTACGAATCTCTAGTTAGCCTCAACAAGATTAGATGCTTCTTTTGAAGAATACGGCCAGAATGGTGAGAGTGAGACAACCTTCCCGATGATGATCAGTGTCGGTGATATTAACTCTACTGAAGCAATCTTGCTAGCAAGATCCTTTAATTCTGCAAACACCTGCAGGATTGCAGATACAAAGCTTAAGAATTTAAGTTATAATTGGAAAACGAGCCTCACAATTAACTCGAACAGGTGCAAACATGTGGGAAAGAAAGTTTTTCAAGAGGTGTTTTACTTTTTCTTCTTGTTCCGTTTACTAGGATCAGATCAGAGATAAATGTGATGTTTGTGGAATACAAATGGACATGATTTGTGGAATACAAATGGACATGATTTGTGGAATACAAATGGACATAAAATCATGCTCACCGTGCGCTGTTGAGGTGTGGTCCCACGCTCAACTGCAGCAGCTGGTGTATCTGGTGGCAGACCATGGTGCATTAGCTTTAGTGCTAAAGAAGGGAAAGTAGACAATCCCATGTAAACTACTAAAGTCGAATCAGGGTCAGCTGCATTCTCCGCTACAAACAAAGGGTCAGTCCCTCCTTTTCTCGAGTGCCCTGTTAGAAATCTAACACTATTTGCAACACCTCTATGAGTTAATGGAATTCCCAACTCTGCTGCTATCCCTGAAGCAGCGGTTATACCTGCAAGAACCCAATAAGCTTCATAATTGGAACCATAGTCTCCCAACAATAAACTTTAACAATCCTTCTGAAATCTAAGATAAAAGCAAAACATTTTGAACAAACAAGCATCATTTAGTCAAAAGAAAATCATAACCCAAGAAAGATTTCAAAATGGTTGGAAATCACAAGGCAAGGAACGCAGCATATTGTAGACAAAGTAAAAATTTCTACTTCAAAATTTTGAGGTTGTAGCAACACGTGCACTATTTATTCATGAAACCTACACTTAAAATATCTCATTCTTCTGCCTCACAGATATATACTTCAGGCAATCTTTTCATAGAAATCAAATCCCAGTATGAAATTGGAATTCTCCAAGCAATTACCTCCCGTTACAAAAGGGGAAAAACACCATGGAGCCAACTGCTCCGTGTATCAAATAATGCCTGCATGTGACAGGTACCAAATTTCTACATGAATCAAAAGATAGAGGCCTATGCAACCTTAGCTTCTCTGCTAGAGATACCAGCTACATTTATTTTAAATGATAAAACTCAATGCAGTTAACAAAGAAGTTAACTGAAAGACGATATGCGTATAATTAAGATCAATCTCACAGCTATTAGTGTACTCTTAAG